AAAAAGTAGTTAGGCAGTATAATAATAATTGCAAAATTATGCGATATGTCATCATGGTAAATATGTTTACCATGATGACATATTTTATGTATGTTACATACATAAAATATTCAGAAAGAAATGCAAAAGATATCGCGTTCTTGAAAATGCACGTGTAAAGTAAAAACAAGTACGTCTTCCAGACTTTGTCACACTGAGAGAAGAATGTATGATACTTGGAACTATAATGGCATAGTAAAAAGATTATAATTAGGAATATTATTTTTATAGTAAATTTCACCATAATGTTTGTAATATTTACAATATAAGCATAGTATAACTGACCCATGTAAAACTTTTATCAAGAATTATAATCATTTAAAATAAAAAATATAATAAAGTTGCAAATATTGAATGGTAAGAGAAATTAAATATTTTATATAGTCAATACAATTGGAATATTTGGAAAATATAGGTACATATAACTATATTCCCAAAGCTTGCTTTAGTATATACATAGAGTAATAAGATGGTGACTATAAATCTGTTTTAATTTTGCTATATCTTTATGTTTAGATGAACTATAAATATATGTTTGAGGCCAAAACGAACTATAAAATATAGTGAGATTATACTTATTCCAACTATTTTTTTCTCTCAGTGCAATCGCGATTCACTTTCGATGGCTCGTTCGGTAAAAGCGTTCGGTCAACATTCGAATACTTCGACGGAGTAGAAAAGAACGATGCTTGGCCGGCACGTTCACGAGGTTGTGCAACGGTTGATTGAGGTGTACTCTCGTTTCTTTAGGCTAAGCTAGACGTTCGTGATGGCACCTCGATATTTAACAGGCCAAGGCCGCGTGTACGAAATGATGATAGCGCGGCGATCTACATCACGTATTTTGTCGCGAGATCGTCGACCTCGACGTTATTGTTTGCTTTTCCTAGAGATCTCTTAAGTATGTTCTTTGACAGTCAGCGTTAAAGTGACTCCATGTCTTGCATTTTCGCAATGACTCCCGCAGAAACGTTTTCTATCGACTTCAAATGTATTGACATTAACTGGCAAAATAAGTTTATCATTTTTTTATTTTTTTTTATATGTAGAAATTTTGTCGAATTTCTCCGTTATAGAACGAAGACGTTCGAGTTACAGTGATTATTTGCTAAAAAAATATGCAATTACGAGATAAATTAGCACGATTGTTATACTTGCCTCTCGTAAAACAAGGTCGTTTTCATACGTCAGGAGATCGAACATGAGGTAATTTTCCATATACTTGTCTCATCATAATTATAGATACGTGCGTCACAAATCGAAGTACGCGCTAGTTTTTTTTCATATTGTAAGTAAGATTTAAGTTGAAATCAATTCTACAAATAAGCAGGTTTGATTAGCTAAAATCCGAAATGACTATAGAACTTTTAATTTTTGGACTTTAGTTAACTCAATTTGCCGTATTCCGAACTGGATGGATATTTTGTGAATTAGTTACGCATTGATGTGCCGCGATATCGATATGACCGTGACATATATATATATATATATATATATATATATATATATATATATATATATATATATATATATGTATATATATGTATACGGAATTTATCTAAACTTCACCGACAAATTCACAGGATAGATATATAAAAAATTAAGTGTAAGGTCTTAATAATTATGTACTCTCAAATGCTTAGTTTCTGAGAGAGATATAGTAGCCGCATTCTCTCAGTTTTAAAAGCATATATTTTATTCATAAAATCCTGTTTTTTTACAAATAAGTAACTATGGAGACATAATGTTTTAAAATTTGTTAAAAACTTCTGCTTCTCTTATCAATGCACAATTGACATCTCTGTAGTAAAAACGCGCGCGCGTTCGAATATTGCTTCATTATTTCTAATCGCATATATCTAATCGCTAATAAAATCGCATATCTGTTGGATTTTTACGCATTGATAAAGGAGACAGAAATTTTTAACAATTGTGATAACAATATATTTTTATATTGTTACTTATATGTAAAAAACACGATTTAATAAAATATATGTTTTTAAAACTGAATGAAAAATGAAGGAGAATGTATGGCAGCTATATCTCAGAAACTAAGTATTTAAAAATATATTTTTACTAAGACATTTTCTTTAACTTTTTGGAAGCAGTTCATTTAGCTCGTTTGCAGATATTTCATAGAACATACTTTTCAAGTAGATTCACAGAAATAATTAAAAGGTTTAGGGTCTGGCGATCTTGTTAGTTAAAAACTTGGTCCACTTCTGCTAATCCCTCTTTGCAGGTAAAATGCTTTCTTACAGTTGGGCTAAAATTAGCTGATGTCCCATTATGCATAAACCACGTATGCGCTGACGAATATAAAGAGACACTTCTTTTAATAATTATGGTAAATTATTTTACAGAAAGTTAATGTATTCTAAAACTCCTGTTAATCAATTAGGCAGTATATATAGTTTTATCAAACAATTTCCAACAATATCATACCAGACATTGATAGCATACCCTTGCTATCGGCAAGGTGATAAGATGGCAAGGCAACGCTAGTGCGTTGTGATATTGCGATGCGAATTGTGGCGTGTAAATTTTCTTCAGCTCAGAAATGCATTTTGTGGTTGTTAAACATCTCACTTCTCGTGAAAGTCGCTTCATTCATTAAAATAAATAAAAATTGAAAAAGTGGCATTGAATTCTAAACGTGTTAGCAACTATTCGCCAAATCTTTGATCTTTGATCTTTGGGAAAGAAAATCTTTAGAATTTAAAGCCTGAACTTTTTGCAGTCGAAATGGATGTAGCTATTAAACTTTGCGAACCCGCTACATGATTTATTCTTGAGTCTTTGAACTATATTTCGAGTGCTAATTCCAGGATTTTCTGTAACTAAATCTAATATTTTTTTTCTAATTCTGGCGTTCGAACTGATCTTTGGGATCCAATATCAGTCATATCCCATTTCAATTTTCCAGTCATTCTTAGCCGTATATGAATGGAAGCAAATATTGAATGATGCAAGTAATGCCTGTTAAGAAATTTTGCTAGGTAGATTTGTGCAGCTTTTCTTCCATTATCGTCTGCTATTCTATAAACGAAATGCAAGCTCTACGAAAGTGTAGGCACCTACGATATCAACAGAACATAATATGTTTTTATTTTGTGACAAATGATAATAGTATACCAACGTCACAATGAACAATTCAGAAATGATAAAAATTGTTAGGTATTATCTTCAAAAACAAGTCAAAAGAATGTATTAGTATTCTTAATCCGCTTATTATGACACATCTTCTTATATTGTTATCTTCTAAAGGCTATATTTAAAAAAATAAACCTTTTCGAACATATGTTTATTAAGAACATATTTCTACTTATTTTTACTTATTTTTTAACATAGAATCTGTTCTATAAATTTATCGATAGAGTTCAGATACACCTTGTATATCGTTCCTTTCATTGTTTGTTATTTAAATGTGTTACAATGGTGCCACTATTTGCATGTAATTAATAATTTATGATTGCATTACACTTTTATAATAGGTGAAGTATGTACGCCACAAGTTTAAACGACTGCAAGGTCAAGTACGAAACGGAAACTTTTCACTTTAATAATATAACATGCAATAAAAACTTGTATAAAATTATATGTAACGTGGAATGCATTCGTGTGCCACAAATTTGTACACACTGAAAAAGTTTTAGTAATAATCAAGTTTACATAATAATTACCAAATGCTTTGGTGAAATAGTTTCAACTAAAAATGTATAGGTGAATATAATCAAATAATTTGATAAATTATTTTATTAACAATTAATCTTTGTAAGATTGATGTCTGTTATCAATATTTATCTGTTGCTAAGATTTGATTACCAATTTGTTATAAATATGGTATCATCAAACTATTTATTAAATAAAAACATATTGTTTGAAAATAATATTATCACATTATGCGATAAATATACAAAATGACCAAATACTTTAGCAATACTCAAACTATTGAGTAATTATTATCAAATTATTTGGTATTATCTACTAAACTATTTAATTGGTTCAACTAAATAAGAATTCGTTTTACTAATTATTTTGAAATTATTACAAGAGACAATTGGTAACTATTACCATATTTGATACTTTGAGATTTGATTTCCAAATATTGTAACGAAATACTTAACTAAATGTATTTGTTATGTACTGTTATATATACTGTTTATATATATATATATATATATATATATATATATATATATATATATAACATATATATGTATATGCTATATATGTAGTATATATATAATATATATAAATAAATAAATATATATATAGTATATACACAAAAAAACGTTTTGCTAATAAAAATCGTATGTGGTCTTTTGAACTTATATTCAATGACGTCAATTCAAATTTTTACGTAACGTTGCATTGGAGTTTGTACTGATGGTGTACATATAAATATTTAAAAACATCACAGGACGTCCTGAGTGCAACGAATTAATTGACATTTGCACCTATTGTATTCGTCACATGTGTGCATCGTTCTTTTCTTACATAACGATTTATAATGGTACATATTATATTATTGCTATACGAAAAACACAAATTTCTTAGTGCAAATGAATTTTTTATTACTTGGGTATCAGGTAAAACTTGATTGTAAAAATAGAAAGTTTCTTGTAGAATGTTTCTACTCAGCTGATTACTTTGTTATTGGATTTTAATGCGGATAAATGTGCATACGAATATTTTCAGTCACTTCAACATAAATATTATTTCTCGTTAGCAAGTTTTTCATTTAGTTCCCATTTAGTTACCCAAATTGAATTTTTTTCCTGTGTAGTTATAATTATGTTAAATTATAGTTATAATTATGTAGTTATAATTAAAGACAAAAAGCGATAAGCATAGAATGTTTTGTCTTTGGGTAAATAACTTTAATAAACTTATTTGACTTTAAATAATTGCTTTAACAATAGTTTTCTTTTATTATTTTCTAATCGCAATGCGAATTTACTACTATGATTTCTGTGTTCTTCCATATTAATAAGACTCTAAAACGAAACAAAAATGTGATTCTAACATATGGCTCTTATAAATATTTTATTTTAATTCTTCTGTATAACAAACAACTTTAAATATATCTGACTCTCTTATAAACTTTCTATCTTAATTTTGTTGATTATACATTAGGTTTCGAAACGATTAGAGTTTTTTCCCTGATGCACTTTGGAACACAGCCAATGAAAAAATATAATTAAAAGCAATTTCTCTCTTATTGGATCATTGGTCACGTTCCAAAGCGCATTGAGAAAAAGAGTGTTTAAGCTGTTCTGAAACCTATTGTATATTATGCCCAATATGTCTCGTCCGGATGGAAGCACTATGTAGTAGTCCCCTGTTCACGTCCTGACAACAGTTTTCAAAAAACCGCCAAAGAAAAAAAAAGCCAGCGCAAGCGATCCAGCGTCGCCTACGCCGCCGTGCGTCACGTGAGCACGCTGCGTCTTCATTGTTTTCTGTTCGTTAGTCCAGACAACACGTTTGTGCCGGAACTTCTATAGTGTACCGTTTTTTAGTTGTGGTTTGCTAGTTCTGTGAGCTATGCCGAAACACAAAAAGAGCTCTTCAGTGAGACATGCGAGAGAAGATAAATCTTCTCATAGATACCACTCTCGAAAAGGAAAATCGCGTGTTCGTTCGCGTTCGAGAGAAACATCGCGTATCCGCTCTTCGGATAGGAGAGTTGCGCCAAGAGATGTTTCCTCTCGCCGATCGGAATCTCGAGAAAGCCTTAGAGATATCCTGGAGCGGATTCATAGGCTTATTTCAGATCGAGACGTCGGACATAACCTACAACCGCAAAATCAGCCTCAAGAGGTTAGGCGGAGGTTTTTTCGGACTCAGAAGAGTCTCAAGCGGCGATTTCTGTGGCTACGCCACTTGCCTTAGAGCAAAGCTCTGAAGAACAGACGGTCGCACAGGCGGACCGGGGCTCTGTACCAGGTATGTCCTCTTGTCGACCCAGTTGATTGGCTTATTCCTGGCAAAGAGAGGACATAACCGACGTGTTCTTCTGCTTTAACTTCTTCTAGCTTCACTACCAGATGTTGAGATCGAAAACGATGACCTTCAGCCTGCTAGTAGTGTGTTCTTTGCCGACCCACTTACTCATGAGGTTCAGAATCTTCAGGATCCTGGCTCTGTACCAGAGGCGATGGTCAGCGATTTGTTTGGGAGTGCTGAACCACCTTCCACATCTCCCATCTGGAATGCTACCGTTCTAAATTCCATCCAGATGGAGTCCAGAAGTGGGCTAAATGCCGACGTTCGTTCTAGCTTATTGTCTAGGTACGAAATAAAGGGAGATCTTGCGACACTGGCGCCACCAAAGCTTAATAAGGAACTCGTTCCTGCTCTAACTCCCTCCATTATTAAGAGGGATGAGTATCAGTTGCTCTTGCAAACACAACTGTGTGCCTGTCTTAATGCTTTTGGCTCGGGCATATCTGTTTTATTAAAACCGACTGTTTTGCAAAGCTTAGACGACGAAGCAAAGTCGGTTCTGAAGTTCTTCGCAGAAGGGATTCACTTACTCTCCGACCTCCAGTATCGCCTTTCACTGACCAGAAGAGCCTTCACTAAGCCTTCCTTGAACATCCTCGGTAAGAATGCAGCAGAGATGGCTCCGATTGACGATTTTTTATTTGGACAGAATTTCGCGGAAACCCTTAAGGCAGCACAGGCTTGCGAAAGGACTGGCCGTGAATTATCAAGGTTAACAGCACCAATAGGGAGAAGGACCTTACAACCCGTCCGTCAGCAGACAGCCTCACAGTCTAATCCATCCTACAAGTCCAATCCACAGTCGGGAAACCGAAGAGCTCCTGTTCGACTAGTGTCGGCTCGCCAGGCAGGAGCTTCTCAGCGCAAGAGCCGTCCCCGCTCCCAGTCTCGGTCCCGATTTCGGCGCAATCACTGAGCAATGTAAGAACCGCTGGTCGCCTAAACGAATTTCTCGAGCAATGGCTAGAGATTACAACTGATACTATGGTATTAGATGCAATTCAGGGTTATCACATCCCCTTTGTTTCTGGGCCTCCAGTGAGAGCTTTTTTGAGGGAGCCGAAATTCTCAGAGTCCACTTCTCTTTATTGTGATACAGAAGTAGAACGTTTGCAGCTCAAAGGAGCTATTGAGGCAGTAGATCCATGTAAAGATCAATTCTTATCGCCATTCTTTCTTGTAGATAAATCTTCGGGTGGTAAACGTTTTATCTTAAACCTACGGG